CCCCAAGATGGATTCACATAGTGACTGTAACAATGGGCTCAAGTGTGTTTGAGGTGGTGAGGATGGCATGGGACAGGAAAAGGTTCAGATGATTGTTTATTGGGTCATTATGAGTCCTAGTGGACTGGCCAGAACATGACAACCACCACCACCAACAACAACAACCACCACCACCTGGAATAATAATCTTCAGTGAAGTGTTGGGGTGCAAGAGTCAACAACTTGTGACTGTGCTCTATGTAGTCAGGCCCTGAGAGCTGGATCTGTCCACATAAAAAGGAGTGAATGTCCACTTAGGTGACCACACACGACATTCACTGGAGCCCTCCTTAAGAAGCTTGGTGGTCAGATGGATTGACACAATGGGCTCAAATATCCCAACATTTATCAGGATGGTGTAGGATTGGATGACAATTTGTTCCTGCGGTACATAAAGTCCTTATGAGTTGCAGGCAACTTGATGGCACATAATAACAACAACAACATACATCTGATTATCATGCGCCATAGACCACTGGACGGAAACTAACAACAACCAAGTGGTGTATAAAGCATCGATGGAGCAGGTCAGGGAGACTGGACCCGATCTTTGGCCTCTAGAGAACCACCTCCCCATCTGCACCTTATCCTATGATCATTGACAATAATAATAATTTTTAATGTGAAAAAAAACCCAAAACCAACAACAACAACAACAGTGGTGGTGGGGTATTAGTATTTAGTTTCTTTGTCCCAAATGAGTATTTACATATCTTCATTCCAACTACTATATTTACAATGTCATCTTTAATTTAGTGATTCTGAAAAGATATAAAAGAGCCCTGATAGTGTAAGTGCATTGACTACTAAATTTTGAAAGATTATCTTAGAAGAATGGTAATGTCACATGGAGATGATAGCCTAAGAAACAGAATAACAGGGTTGTTCTACTCTGATCTCTGAGTAAGGATCGATATTAAGACATAAAACAGAAACACGTAAGAAATGCTTGCCCTTATAAAACTTCATCAAATTTGATTCTGGAATTTCTGCTTCTGAAACCATCATCCAAGTAGGCTAGTTGGAGGGGAACCGCTCTGCCATGGGCCAGAGAGCTAAGCCAGTTTACCCTCTGCACTGCCTTCATAATGTACAGTAGCCAATGTTTCTATGCGCTACAAATGGACACACAAAACTTAAACCAAAGCAATTGCTTTCAAGTAACTCCAACTCATGGTTACCCTAGGGCTGTTCAGAATAGAAGTGTGCTTTCAAAGGCTTGTTTTTCAGAAGTAAATTACCAGGGTGTTCTATGGGGGATCCTTAAGTGAACTTGAATGTCCATGTTATCAGCCACTTTGAAATAGGTTTGAGAGACCATTAACACTAGTTGTTTAGACCTTTGAATATCTTGGCTGTTGTCCGGTTCCCTCTGGTTAGCTCTGACTCAGAGTGACCCCAGGGGCAACAGAAATGCCACCTCTGTGAAGGTCTTCCTCTCTTCCACTGACCCTCTGCTTTTTGACATGATGCCCTTTTCCCGAGTCTGGTCCCTCGTATTAACATCACTGAAGTGTATATGAGACTATACCTATAGGAAAAAACAAACAAGCCAAAAAACACACCAAACACATTCGTCTTGGAGAGGATGAAATCAAGTTGCTACTTGGAGGTGAAGATTCTGAAGCTCCATCTCACATACTTTGGGCATGTGGGCAGGAGGGACCAGTCCTTCGAGAAGGACATCATGCTTGCAAGAGTGAAGGAACAGGGCAAGAGGGGAAGACCCTGTATGAGATGGATAGACCCTATAACTGAAATAATGGGGGTTAGTTGTGTGAGAGGCAGTGAGACTGTCTCAGGATAGGGCAGGTTTCAGAGCTATTATGCACAGGATCTCTATGAGTCCCAGGAGACTTGACAATACATTGCATATATATGTATCTGTATATATATACATATATGTACACACACACACACACACACACACACACACACACACACACACATACCCATCTCCCCCCCACACACACACACACACTTCCACCATCCAGCTGATTCCTACTCACAGAGACTGTGATGCTCTAAGTCTTTTCAGAAAAATACTCATCTTTCTTTCTGGGAGTGGCTAATGAATTACGAATTTGAACTCTAGACCTTTGGGTTAGCAGCACCAGGGGGTGGAATGAATGCGTGTGTGTGTGTGTGTAGGTTGATAGATAGGTAACTCTGCAGGCTTAGTAGTAAGGAGCTATACTGCCAAACCAAAGGCATGCTGTTGGGTAATTGTCTCCTTTGAGATTTATTGCCTCTGAAAACCTACTAGAGGGTCAGCTATGAGTTGGTTCTGACTCAGTGGTACACAATAGAGACAGGTAGGAAGATCCTCAACAAGATGGATCAACATAGGAACTTTAAGCAATGGGTTCAAGTGTATCCGAAATGATGAGGATGGTACAGGATATGGCAAGGTTTACATCCATTTGTTCATAGTATTCCTGTGAACCTTAGTGGAATTGATTGCACCTAACAACAACAAAGATATAGACATAGTGGGTGAGCAGATATGAGAGAATAGAGAGAGACAGGGAGAGGGAAACCTTGAAATTGACCCTAAAGATAGCAAAGTAAATTTAAAATTTAATTGTTGCTACTTCACCTTAGCTTTAGCAGTCTTTATGCCTGACTTTCAATACCAGACTTAGGAGGCAGAGTAGATGTGAAATTCTTGGGGAATAAAATCTCCTCCTGAACACTAGAACAGAAACAAATGCCCAGTGGTGGGGCCTCAATGCACACCTCTGAACAGTCACCCCGCAGAGGGGGCATTCACTCATGTGGGAGCGGGTGGGGCAAGGGCCCAGGAGCCCTATTCTCAGGGTACCCTGGGACTGGGGAGCCGCTGTGCAGTGGGGCCAGCAATGTGCCAGGCTCTGGAAGACCTTGTCCTTGGGGGGCTGCCAGGCACCCCAGCTTTCCTCCGCAGGGAACCCGGGGGAGTTAATGAACTTTCCAGTGAGGTAATAGGAGGGAGTGGGGGCAGGGCGGAGGTGCTTCCCCTTGCACTGTGCTCGCCCCCCCTCCCCAACCCCCGCCCCCTGCACAGCGCTGGTTTCTTCCCGAGTTGCCAGTTGGTTCTCTTTCCAGTAAAATCAACGACGGAAAGGTGGAAAGGCATAGACTGCTGGAGAGAGGGAGATCCGCGTCGGGGTCAGCGGCGCCAGGGGAGCGGCGCGGGGTCCCCGCGCGGTGGCCGCGGATCTACACTGCACCAAGCTCCCGGCCGCCCCTCCCACGCCGCGCCCACCGCCCCCGCCCGCGCCGCTGCTGCCACCACCGGGGTCCCAGGCAGAGCAGCCAGGAATTGGCGCAGCGGGCGGGGAAGCCACCTCCACCACCGCGCCCAGACTCCCGGATACCCTCCTGCTGCGCCCTGCGCGCACCAGCGTCCTGGTCCATGCCCTCGCCCCCTCCCCCTGACCAGCGCC